ATCCATGTACCCATTTATGGCAAGTTTCTATAACAAAATAACCAATAATGTGAGTCAAGGGCTAGAAAGGGGGGCATATGTGTTGTTCAACATTTCTTGTACTGAGTGGTGACGTTGTCCCAAAAAATAGGGATGTTTTACTGAGTGGTGACGTTGTTCCAAAAAATCGGGAAATTTTACTGAGAAAGTGGAAATGGTAGGGGATATTTAATATTGCGTTACTACAAATGACTTGGTTTTTTTACTTTGTGTGCAATTTATTTGTATTAGCATGTTTTATTTATCTTTGTGACCAGATATATGTTGTTTAGAATCATCAAGATAAAATCAGTTTGTTCATGGAGATATGTGGTTACTTCCTTGTGTAGATAAAGCACGAAAGATACTGTAAAAAGTATGTCATGTATATACATGTGCTATAGATAATACGTGAGTTTGTCAAATTGCGTGTCTTGTTACTTTTAAATGGCAGACAAATGCGTAATTTTTATTAAAGCATAATTATACACATTTATTATATAAATTAAAAATAGCTGCAATCTCATTGGTCCAAACTGTAGTCAACAGAACTTTTTATAAAATCATATTCACTTGGTGTAGTATCATATTAACTGGCTGAATTGGATTTTCCAAGTCTAAAAATAGATTGAGACTCATATTCAATGACCATACACCGTAGACTGTTAATTACGTGTGTTAATTAAAAAATAATTGTTGCGTTTTGTTCTTTATGGCATATTTCTCGATTGAAATACCATTACTTTATTGATATACTTAAAGGCTAAACCGTATTGATGAGTATAAACTTGAATTACTTTTGTATGCGCAGCGTTCGCGTAGTCGTTGCACGCCTAACACGTGCGTATTTTTTCCCGCGCTTCAACGAGGCAAAATTTGTACATGTATATAAGGATGAACTTTTTCGTGATTTTTTTTTAATTCTTAGACTATTCATATAATAAAACAATTATTGACTAGTGAGCCATTGAATATGATGTGATATTCAATGGCTCACTAGTCAATAATTGTATAATAAGGCTCAAATTTTAAAATCAAATATCAAATAAAAATGCTTTCGCATAATTATGCATGTGACCTTTACTTTAAAGGTCACCAGAAAACTATATTATATTTTGATTAATTTTCTTATTTTATAGTGTCATAAATACACTCATTAAGGATAATAGACCCTAAATAGTATGTGTTTGGGTTTCCATATTCTTCTCAAATAACAACATCACAGTGGAAAACCCTGATTTGCAATTGCATTACAAAGAAAGTACTAAAAATAGTGTAATTGGAACTGTTGAAAGAAGGCAAGAGAGACTTTCTTTTTAGGATGGTCAAGATATGTGATGGATTCTTTAGCGTTGATAATTATGAAAAATGGCTATGGTCAGTTATGGCTGTAATTAACCTTAGGTTCCATGGTGATCTTTTGAAGAAAAAATACTAAGTGAAGCAAAAACAAAATACTAATTGGTTATCAATCATTCTAAATGCTTGTAGCCGCCATAACTGTCACAGTCATACTGATACACTGTTTATGAGTGTTCAGTCCATCCATTTTGTAGTGGTTCATGGTCCATAATTGAATACAAGTAGTTAATATTTATGATAGACAAGTTGACTCAGCCATAAACAAAGATGTGTCTACCACACAAACAATCACAAATGACTTAATAGTTAGTAATTCAGGGCTCACACTGGCTCAAATAAAATAATAGCCAATATTTTTTACTTAAAAAAATAATAGCCAAAAGTTCAGCGGACTATTCACGATTTAGAGATTAGCAACATAAGCAGTTGATAAAATAAACATTACATATAAAACATTTTCAGTTTTATAAAGATTCTCAAATAAACCGATACATTTGTGAATATTGATAACTACCTTTTTTTACATAGAACCACAACTTTAATTGTTATTATAGAACAAAATAAAAATGTTATATAGTATAATAACTGTATAAGAATAAAATTAAAGATTCATTATAACTTTACATAATGCTGTTATCAGACAATTTCTTTTGTTTGTTCTAATCAAATTTTGTCAGCTATAACCACTGTCAATTTCCACATTTCACACAGAACTGGAGTAGATCTAGGTCATATTAGCCTATAGAAATAACACTTGCAAACTCATTCACAGAATGCAGCCTTTTTTCTGAATAACTTACTGAAAAATGTCATCATCACCAATGTAATACAAATTTTCTGCCATAATAGTAAAGATTTTTAAACAGAACATAGCTTATTTTCACCTTTAAATAAATATCAAAATTATCGGTGTCGCGAAAATATGTGACAATCGGATTTTTTCTGTTTTCTGAAGAAATATTCACAATTTTGGTTATTGTGCAAATAGTTGGTTGGAAGTAAATACTTTTTAAATATTTTATCATTGTTTTCCACTGGCGATTTAGTCAAGCAGCTTAAAACAAAAAAAATCAAAATTTGCCATTACTGCAATTTACGGTAAATTTTGGGTTGGTCAATATCACGTTTATCAATTTTAAGAAGATTATTTTGTGGCTAATTGACGGATATTTGATGGCTATTATAATGCTGGACAATATCTTTAAAGTACTTAAACAATTTTACATCTCTCATGTATTTTTATCACCTGCATGTATTTTTATCACCTCGGGCAATAGTAAGCAACGCGTGACCGATAAAAAGTTGACACTCAATTAAATCTACCCCGCTGGTGTTAATTGGGTCTACTGCATTCATTATCGATTTTTACACCTTATGTAAACACTGTTGGAAGTAAAAAATAATCGCCAGATTTTGTAGCCAAAATGCAAAAATAATCGCCAATCTTATAAAATAATCGCAAATGGCGACTATGGCGACCGACAGCGTGAGCCCTGGTAATTACTTATGTAATGTAATGTAATAAGTGGAATGAACTTAAATGGAGTAAACTAAAGGACAATTACCTCTCCTTTGCACGAGTCTGTTCAATATTGCACGTGTACTGTATAGTTTAATATCTTTCTCTAGAAGACAAGTGGTAACTCATACCCTACTAGCAAAGACTGAATCCACCCAATGCAACCAGTACAAGTCAAGATCAGCCGTCATGTCTGTTTGCTATTCAGTCAATACATAGTTTTGTTCTGCAGAATGTAAAATTCAATATTTAGCTTGGCATTTAAAGGTCAAGGGGAGTATTTTCTCTATGCACCCTTTTAAACGATAACTTGTCACCTTAGTGCAGTAATCTGTTAACTGGTATTAAATTATATAAAGAGTTAACCTGTGAGTATATAAATATACTGTATAAGTGGATATTTATGCGTCACAAAAATTTTTAGAATGTCAAAAAGTGCACTTTTTGCGTGCGGAAATATTTGCGAAAATATGAGTTCTTGAATTTAATACTGTTTTGTGAAATTATTAATTTAGCATGTATATGTTAAGAATATGCCTTATTGTAATCGTTCTATTCAGTTGTTTAATACCTTTATTATTAATATAATTGTTTGTATTATACAGTGTTAGGTTTGTTAAAGGACCTGATCACACCTTGTCATATTTTAAAACATTCTTTTGTTACACAAATAACCTATAGTGTTATTAACACATATATAGTTTCATTAAAACATTGGTGATTTGCCTAAAAAGAAATAATTTCTGCGCGATCAAATATTTGCGAATAATTGCAATTAGTTTAAAATAGCAAATATTTCCACGTCGCAAAATTAACCACTAATACAGTTTATAATACTATATATATAATCAATTTTAGAGAGGATATTGTTTCATACCCTGTTCTTTGCTGAAGTAGTGTATATACTATAGGACTTATTTATAATAAATACTTAGCACTGAGCAGTATAGAATCTTAAAAGTCATGCTCTAAAGTGAATGTGCCTCCACTCAACCCCCCCCCCCCCCCCCACCCTACACACACACACACACACTCCTACCTCCTATGACAAAATAAGGATAAAGGATGTGACTTTATCAGGAAGAAAGTGATTTTTAAATGTATTGTCTCAAATAAAATTGACACACAATATTATCAGGAAGCAAGTGGTTTTTGAATGTATTGTCTCAAATAAAATTGACACACAATTGAACAGTGGATGTTTTTTACCGTACATCCGTTAATGTAGTTATAACTTCTACTAAAATACCTATTGACTGTTATGTACTTAACTTATGACCCTTAACAATGGAATGAGTAATAAATTCATAAGAATAAGTACAGTGAATATCCAAATAACGAAATGCCGCTTGTTTGTAAATTGGTTGCCCCTCGGACATAATGATATAAATTTGGTGGTCCCCTGAATATAAGTGTAGTTTACTCTTAAGTTTTTCTTGCTTATTTAATCAAAGTGCTGGTAGAAGTCCATTTTGTGTCCTGATTATTTATTAATAACACATATTAATACCTTTTAGTTCTCTTAGTCATTTTATGTCCTTGGGGTAAAAAACGGGTCCACTTGTAGTCTGAAAAGCAAAACTATGTCTATCCCACCCTTCACAATGAACAATTTTTCAAGCTACATAATTATATGTACCCCACAACTTATCAGACTTGTCAATGGATTTGTGGATGTTTTCAAGCTTAATGTAACATTTATAGAAGTATTTTTTATGAAAAGGCGAAAATAATGTTCAAATATTAATATTATATGAATGCCAGAGAAAAAAAGGTTTTTATAAAAAAAAGGATTACTTTGTTCTTATTTTCTGAATTAGTTATTACTTATATGTCACCAAACTGTGTTTGTTTTGCACCTGGGTTTTGATTGCTAAACAGGGGCACTGACATAAGAAAGCAATTCCCAGAAAGAAACTTAATATAAACTGTGTAGAAAATGGAGGTTATTATCATAAGGAAAAACCTTTCATAAATCTCTAATGTAATTTGATATCATGCAAATGATAAATCTCCTGTCACATATCCTAATCCTTTTCAGCTTATTTGGTTACTGATTTATTACTTTACTGTATCTTATATTTGTATATTTTTTCGACAGATATGTTAAAACAAGGAAGTTAATTACAGTCTGGGTGATCATGAACGCAGATTAGCATAATAGACAACGCCTGTTATTGAGATAAGTTGTGACCAGTTAAAGCGGATATAACCCACATAAGAAAGGAAGGGGAATCCCAGGAAATAGTCGGACTTAGAAATGCACTAAAAGTAAGCTGTAATTGTTAAAGATTTTTTTTTGTAATGGAAGGATAATTAAATAATTTGAAAAATTGTTACATACTTTATTTTAATGTTATTAAAGTACAGGTAAATATTGTTATTTTGAAATATTTGAATTATATTAAGACATTTTAAATGTGTATCAATACTGCTGGCATGAGTCTGACTACAGTTGGATTTTGAAATGTTGAGGAAAATTGGACATCTTTAGCATTAAAGCAGGGTATTTCAATTACTTAAATGATCAATACAGTCAGGTAAGAAATTAGGTTATTTTTCAAAATTTTAGGAAAATTCATAGATTCCATTTACCAAAAATGATAAACTATTTACAATGGGAGTAATATATATATATATATTCATATATATATAGTCTTGTTTCCCCAAAATGATATTCTTTTTTCAGTTGATTAATCACTGTACAATGCCATGAACATGCTATTAGCGTTTCATTTTTTTTTCATTTTTATTTTCATTAGAAAGGTCACTCTCATAAAGAATAGATTAATTAAAAAATTTCCTCTGTTTTTTTTCAGGCTATTAAGCAGCTAAAACTGGACAGAGAAAAGAAGTATTCCATATATCTTATAATATTTGTGTCTAAATATTTTATATAAGGTGTAAGTAGTATGTTTATTTTCTGATGTCTGTTGTAAGTTTGTTAAAAAGAGAACAATATGACTATTGACGAGATTAGTAAAGACTTTCTTCTCAAGAAAACAATACTGGTACCCTGTCCCCATGGTGAATTATGTTTATGTTTATATCATTGGGAAAGAAAATCTAAAATCTCCCCTGATATCTGGGAATTAAAAAAAAAAACATCAGAAATTTTTATGTTGTGTGACATCGTGAATTTCCCTTCTCTTAATAAATGCCATGTTATGACTTTTTTTGTTGTTTGAACATGTTCTTACCCTGTAAAACTTTTGATCAAATTTTCGATTTCTCAGATGAGAATATAAGCCAACTGGGATCTCTTGTATGTATGAGCTACTGTCATTTCTAACCAAAAGTGTAATATACCGTAAGCAGCAGCAAATGAGACTCAATATTTGGAAAGTGATATTGTTGTCAGGTTATAAATTGATTATTGTTGCTTGGTGCTAAATACATTGTGATATTTTCTTTATGGCATATCAGTAACACCTATTTTGCACCAAGTCCTTGTTATAGTCATTATACATCTAATCATTTTCAAAATATTTCTCTTAACCATCTAATGTTACAATTAAAAGTATTTATATTTTTTACAGAGTCACCGAGAAACAATGATCACAATGTTCCAGTCAGTTTTACTTTTACTTATTGTCCTCACTGTGATTGGTCCTGCATCTTCATTGAATGTTGATGTTGAAATTAACAACCTGAGTACACCGTTAACCAATCTCCAGTTTCATGACAACAAGTTCTATATTGGTGGTCAAGATAACATATATGTACTTGACAAGGATTTGAGGCTATATCAGAAGGCAGATACATGCAATAGTACAAAGAAAAGATGTAACAATGAGAATAGTCTTCTATTGGTCAGTGATAATAGTGCTGGAAAATATTTGATAACTTGTGGAACTGGATACTCTGGTATTTGTGAAACTAGAAATTTAACTGAGATTCAAACTGTTATTATAAATAAAACTCACATGGTTTCATCAGATATTGATAGGCCAGTACAAGGAATAGTTTCTGATACAGATGGAAAAGTGATGCTGGCAGTGACATTTGGTGATGTTATACCAACAACACGTGTAACCCTTCCAAAACTTTCTTATAACTCATATAGATATGCTATTAGTACAGTGCTTCTCGAAAAACTTTCTGTTGACACTTCCAATTTGGACTTTAAAGAATTTATCAATTTGAATATCAACAATAGTTTTGTTATCTATTATAAAAGTAGTTTTCAATTTGGTGACTACAGCTACTTTACTACAATTCAAAAGGAATCGTCAGGAAAAACTATGTACACTTCAAAACTTTTAAGACTCTGTCAAAATGACAAAAAGTTTATAAGTTTTGTAGACATACCAATTAACTGCATGTATAAAGGGAATACTTACAACATGCTTCAAACAGCAGTTCTTGCTGATAAAGAATCAGAAAAAGTTTTTGTTGGTGCTTTTACTCGTGGTAATAACCCAGAAATGCCAGAAGGTGAAAGTGTGATATGTGTAGTAAAACTAAGTGTTTTAGATGAAAAGCTGAGAGAATCTTATGAGAAATTTGCAATTCTTAATCGTACTAATGCAGACAATTTCACAAGATACTTACCAGACCGAAGAACAGGGCAAGTAAGTATACTTTTAAATGCTTTGTTTTCAATTCCTGTTTAGCATCAGTAAAAGGTATATATGCAAATTGCCATTGATATAGAATGATTAACAATATAAGTCCCATATTTAAAGGCAAAACTACTGTATTCCTAGAAACTTTCGCACGTTTGTCATAAGGATGGTGTTTTTGCGGAGACAAACTTTACTGCAAACATAGTGACCGCAAATTTCCCTAATATTAAGTCGCTAGGATGAAAGAGCATATGTATTACTAATATCATAATTCTTTTCTATCATAACACTTCCCATCTCAGATGAGATGTGCGCGACGATCAGCCGATAACCTCACAGTGCGTTTACAATTTTCAGAGTGAACGGACGCGGTTCGTTTTTACTCTACTAGCCGATATTTCCATGTGGGTGGATAATTTGTTGAAGTAGGTTCTTTTTATTTTATCGTTTCACTTTTTGTTACGATGAGAACCTTATTTTGCTAGTCTTTGTCTAGCTATTTGGTTTTCTTTACAGACTGAATATGATTGTGTATTGGACGTGGGCCAAATTTCATTAGCCCAACATGTGTTGGACAAATTTTGACTTATTTCTTTCGTCCTTTTACGGACTTAAATTTGTTTAGAATAAGTTATTTCATTTATTTTATTGTAAGGAATTTGTGCATTGTAGAAATTTTGTGCATTACACATGTTTTTCCCGGTTTGGAGACGTAGTATACATTTATTTTTATTTTTATACATAAACTGCCTACGTTCTACACGTTTTGTGGTGACATAGTATGCATTCAAAATGGCGGACGCCATGCTGGGAAAAAGCACTTCTGGGTCAAGTTCTTCACAGAAAACAATACAAAGTACGGAAAATCAGAAAGAAAACACAGATAAAGGAAAAAAGTTTGCTTTTACTAAAAAGACAACAGTGAAATTGTCTTCATCCACTGTAAGTAACGATAATTCTGGTTTCAATCGTGAAACCTTGATGATTTTACGTGACATGAACAATAACATAAACAAAACAAATGAGAAAGTTGAGTCTTTGACCAGTAGGGTTGACCACCTTAATGAATATTAGTCTGATGATTACAGCCATGGTTATTTTGATTATGATGGTTCAAATTATGATGATAATTAGGATAATGGAATAAATTCTTAAGGTTATTGGAAGAACAGCATGGTAGTAAGCGACCTTTGAGTGAGGTTGAGCAGGATGAAGATGATGATAACCATATTTGTGTCGCCTCTACGGAGTAGTGGCGACATATAGGGATCACTTCTCCGTCGTCTGTCTGTCCGTCTGTCCGTCCGTCCGTCACAAAACTTGTCCGGACTACTCCTCATAAACTACTGGTGCAATTTCATCCAAACTTTACAGGAATGATCAGTACCAAGTCTAGTTGTGCATATTGTCAGCATTTTCCGGTTCAATGATTTTTGTCAGAGTTATGGCCCTTTAATAATTTTTAATTTTAAAGTTTGTCCGGACTACTTCTCTTATACCACTAATGCAATTTCAATGAAACTTTACAGGATTGATCTGTAGCTCAAGTCCTTGCGCATATTGCACGGGTTTTTCGGTTGAATGATTTTTGGCCGAGTTATGGCTCTTTGATAAAAAGGTGTTTTTTTCTGTGTGTTGCCAGATACGCAAAAGCTTGTCCGGACTACTCCTCATAAACTACTGGTGCAATTTTATCCAAACTTTACAGGAATTATCAGTACCAAGTCTAGTTGTGCATTGTCCGTCTGTCTGTCCGTCTGTCACAAAATTTGTCCCAATATGAAATTGGCCATCATGAGGCGACACATGTGATCACTGATCGCTCTTGTAGTTCTTTTGTGAAAAGGTTCAAACGTATTGATACTGTTGACAATGAAGTAGATCAAAAGTTGGCAGATTTAATTAACACTACTTTTAGAGAAGGTATGCAAGAGGAGAATTTATCTGATATTTCCCAGTCTATTTTTATACCATCAAATTGTGAGGCGTTAAAAGAATAGCGTGTCAACCCTCGGGTATGGTCAGTGTTAAAACTGGTTACCCAAACTGAAGATTCTAAATTGAGAGGAATTAAAAATTTGGTAATTAAAGCATCTTGTAATGTTGCCAAGATGTTAGACAAAGGTGCCTCTGACTTTGATAAACATATGTTAGAATGGGGTACATCAGCTTTAGGGCTTCTTGGTCAGTCTAATAAATGGATCAACATTTGTAGAAGGGAACTTCACAGAAAAAATATGGATCCAAAACAATATGGATCCAAAACTCCATTACTTGTGTTCTCCTTCCTTGCCCTACACAGATATGCTATATGGTGACTCAATGATAAAAGATATTAAAGACATTCAAAAGTTAAATAAGATAAGCAGACAGGTCATGTTTAGAGGTCGCCCTGTTGGTAGAGGTTTTGGACGTTTCAACTCTTTTAGTAGAGGTAGAAGGCCATTTAGACATGGGGGAGCATATAGGTTTTCCTTTTCTGAAAAGCCTAAGAGTGGCCACATACCAAAACAAGAATTTCAAAGCAAAATTGGAGAAATTTGACCTCTGATGAGTCTGTTTTAGACATTGCATTAAATTGTCACATAGATTTTAAATCTTATATTCCTGTTCAAATTAAAAAGCCGTATCAATTTCACAATGAACATGATGAAAATATAATTGAAAAAGAACTGGTCAAGTTATTAAGTATGAATGTTTTGGAACAAGTCCAAGAAACTGAAGGTCAGTTTATTTCTCCAATTTTCACAAAACCGAAAAAAGATGGTGAACATAGAATGATTCTTAATTTAAAAGAGTTAAATAAGCATGTAGAATATAATCATTTTAAAATGGATACTTTTGAATCCACATTGAAATTAATTAAGCCAAATATGTGGTTTTCCTCGGATGATTTGTGTCATGCATACTACTCGGTACCTATCTGCAATTAACATAGAAAATTTTTAAGATTTGAATGGGATAATGAAATTTATCAGTATACTTGTTTATCTAATGGTATTGGCTGTACTCCTAGACTCTTTACAAAGTTAATGTAACCAATTTATGCCAAGTTACTCAAAATGGGCTACACAAATTCTGGTTATATTGATGACTCGTTATTAATGGGCAATTCGAAAATTGAATGTCAGAACAATGTTAGTGATACAGTTTCTTTTATAGAAAGTGTTGGTTTTATTATTCACGAAAACAAACAATATTAGTCTTTTTAAATTAACAGAAAGTCGAAGAGAAACAATTTTGTTTGAACGCATTAAAAAAGGAGATTACTCTGCAAAAATGCAAATAAGTTGCAGCATGAAATCTGATTTGGTCTGGTGGATAGAAAATCTTCCTTCGTCATTCAGAAAAATTTCTCAAACTGCCCCTGGTATTTTTATTACTACCGATGGGAGTTCAACAGGCTGGGGGTCAGTTTGTAGTAATACTCGACGAGTCATATAGGTGGTCGCTGGACTTCAGAAGAAACTAAGCAACATATAAATTATTTGGAATTGTTAGCTATATTCTATTTCGCTTTAGAATAACTACGGTATAAAATGAGATGTGTCCTGCGCATGCGCCAATCAGTGTGCAAGTAGTAAAACGTGGTTTTACAAGTTGAGAAATAATTTATCTTTTTTATATTAAACGGCTTGAGCGAACGAAGTTCATTAATTTAAACTTTACTAAACAGTAGCCGTAATTGTTATCGTACGTGGTACGAACATTATTTATTGTTTTCGGTGTTATATCGAAGGATATTGGAACTTGAAAATTGCCACATGTGGTGGAGTAATAAAATTACATAATGGCGGATGTCCAAATTAAAAATCAAAAAGACATTGACAATGTCACTAGTGGTAAAGGAAAATCTAGTTCAACCTCAAGTTCAAGGGGAAAGCAGACAGCTCATAATTTGGCAGAGGATTAACCCTCAACTAGTGAAAAGTTGAGTGCTAAAATTGTCGACAAAAATGACGAGATTTTGAATATCTTGAAATCTCTTCGAGCTGAGCAAATAAAAACAAACAGTAAGTTAGAAGCTTGTGAAAACAGGCTCGAACAATTAGAAAATGTAGATTATAGTTATGATTATGATGCATATCAATATGAGCCTGACATGTATGTTGACGAAGAGGCTTCATTGGCTAGTGCCTCTGAAATATGTCCCCCAGTCACTGGAAAGAGAAAAATTGACGATAATAACAACCCTGCAGGTAAAAGTGAAAGTTCTGAAGGGTCTAGTCGTTTTGTGAGATTGTCAAAAAGGTTTAAAACAACCGAGGTGTGTGGGTCAGACATAGATCCATTTTTAGCAGACAATGTAAATCATCTGTTCAGACAGGGAATGGAGGAAGATCAGTATTCTGCTATGATCAAGGATGAAGAAAATCCTCGTCCAGGAAATTGTGACAGTCTTGTTACTGTAAAATTAAATCAGTTAATCTGCACGTTCTAGGGACAAGAAGATGCAAAATATGGAAACAACTGTTATTTAAACAGTGGACAAGGCAGCCAAGTTGGAAACTGAGGTCAAACAGGCAGGTGGTGATAGATGGATGTAATGATGCGCTGGCCTTTTTAGGACATGCTAATCGTCAGATTAACATGATACGTAGGGACCTTTAGAAGCCCGAAATGAGAAATGAGTACAATCATCTGTGTACACATTCTCTACCATATACAAGTCAGCTTTTTGGTGACGATGTGTCGAAAACCGCTAAAGAGATAGAGGAGTGTTCAAGAATTGGGCACAAGCTTCAGTATGGACCTGTTAGAGGCAGTTTTAGGGGTAGACCTGGTTTCCGACCAAGACTACGAGGAACTTTCAGTCGTACTGCTGTTCGTGGTAGAGGTGATTATTCATCCTCTGAGTATCAACAGGCATCAAAATACCTCCAGCGCTGAGGGGGAGTCAGAAAATTTTTAATTTAAAGGTGAGTGAACTTTTTGTTGCTGGTCGACTTAAACGTTTTGTGTTAGAATGGAAAAAACTTACTAATGACCCAGTTATTTTAGATATT